GTAGTAGTAAGCAAAACTACTAACAAATAAACAACAATCCAATTCAATCAAAGCCACCAACTAAATAGTTAAAATTCCTTCCAATTCCAAAAAGTTTTAGCCAATAGTCTGATCCACATCCTGTTATAAATGTTTTCCTTTCTCAAATCTAGCCTGCAAGTTACACGCACACGCACACATGCATAAAGTTAGCAATAGACTAAAGTATAACATCACTGGGACCAAAAATAAACAAAAAAAATCTAAGAAATTTTGACATTTAACCATCATAGGTGGAAGTTTGTAAACTTTGATTACTAAGTAAATACGCTTTTCAAAATGTGTAAATTCTACCATAAACATCATTCTATCATTATAAACATTCTCCAAGTAAACACTATTTTTAAAGTAGTGCTTTAAAAACACTGACCCTACAGATCAACATCTATGTTAAACATGCTTGTTGTTAGTGCTCCTTATTGTGTTAAAATATTCAACTTACCATAGCGAACATTCTAATGGTTGAAGGTGAGGAGAGGCTCTGGATTCAGATTAGTTGAATCCAATTTCTGGCTCCATAATTTACTATTTGAGGGTCCTTGGGCAAGATACATAACCTCTCATTGCCTCTGTTTTCTAATCGATAAAATGGTATAATCACCTCATAGGTGAATATACACCTCATAGGATTATGATGACCAAATAAGATACTTTTATTAGCACACAGAAAGAGTTCAATAAATGTTAGCCATCATTACTTTTTACATAGTTAAAAAAGTCATACTTTCACAACCATTAGGATGGCTACTATCAAAAACTGAAAATAGCAAGTGTTGACAAGGATGTGGAGAAACTAGAACCCTTGTGCACTGTTGTCAGGATTATAAAATGGTGCAACCACTATGGAAAAATTATGGTAGTTCCTCAAAAAATTAAAAATATAACTACCACATGATCCCACATTCCCACTCAGGGTATATATCCAAAAGAACTGAAAGCAGGTTCTCAAAGAGATAGTTGCACACTCACATTCATAGCAACACAGCTCACAATAGCCAAGAGGTAGAACAACCCAAATGTCTATCAATGGATGAATGGATAAACAAAAATTTGACACATATATACATCTACATATGTGCACACACACACATATACACACAAGAGAATATTATTCAGCCTTAATAAGGAAGGAAATCCTATCACATGATATCACATGAATGAACCTTAAGGACATTATGCTAAGTAAAATAAGACAATCACAAAAAGACAATACTTTATATGAGTTCTCTTATATAAGGTATTTACAGTAGTCAAAATGAGAGACAGAAAGTAGAATGGTGGCTACTAAGAGCTGGAGGGAGGAGGAAAAGGGGAGCTGTTGTTTAACAGGTACTGAGTTTCAGTTTTGCAAGATGAAAAAGTTCTAAATTGTTTCACAACAATATGAATATACTTAACACTACTGACCTTAAGAAAACATTTTTAATGTTTAAAAATGGTTAAGATGATAGATTTTATGTTTTTTACAATTAAAAAGAGCTGCACTTTTAAAACCCAGTATCTCCAAACTTAAATGTCCTTTACCATGTTTATAAGGGAAATTATCATTTAACAAAGTAGCAACAAATGAATCAGAAGCCAAAAAAACTCAGAAATTGACAGTGTTATTATATAACCCATCTTCATTCTGAAATACCTGCAGAACTATGATAAAACAGTGCATTAAAATAAGCTTGCTATTTATCACGGACAAAATACACAAATCATGTGACTCAACTCACTAAAGTCTCTAAGGCCAACCTGATATTGAGTCCAGCGTTTCTTCCTGTGCAGAAAGAAAGTAGATGAGTTCTCTGATCCCATAAATAAACCCAGGAGGTCTAGACTGATACGAAATCTTTGAGGACTACCAAGGAAGGTCCTGTCAGACTGCAGACAAACCTAAGAATCAGAAATGACCTTAAACCACTAAGACCTGAACACCAGAGCTTTGACTGTTATCAAACCATATCCAATCTACTTTACTTATAAAATTTTCAAATATAAGTATAGAAAATGAGAATACAAAATCAAATATATGAAGTTTTCAATTCAGGGATTAAAATTAGGAAGACTTTGTCTTCCATTTATACAAAAATAATCACCAATTTGGGAATAAATTTTAAACAAATATATAGCTCATGGACCCTTTAAAGCTATAATTTAAATATTCAGCTCTAAATAAACAACTTAGCTGAAACTTGAAAGTTAGTAAAAACTTCATTGCTTTCAACAATTTTTCAATCTTCGAGCCATCCTTCAAGGATACTACCAAGCATCAGAGCTAGAACAATGATTGTCTTATTTCACTGAGGATACTGACATTGAGAGTATCAATTATAAAATGCACCATTATTTCTCATGCCACTAAGAATGTAACACCAATGCCAATATACATCTGTTATAAAATGAATCCAAAATTCATAGGTATTAAAATATTTAAAAATTAGTATCTTAAAACAGATGTAATACAGTATGTGCATGCTTGTTCCTTCCTCTGAATAACCTCAAGGTACCAGGAACCTTATCTTAGTAATATAGCAACTACAAAGGGAGGGAGAAAAAAAACCATTTCTATAACACCAAAAGTCCTAGGGCCTTACACAGTTTTTTTAAATGCAGGAAAACAGTCGATACAAACTACCAATTCAAGGAATCAATCAATAAATAATTGATGCAGACTGCAAATCCAAAGAAGTAATTAGATAATTCACTATAGCCTAAGGAAATGATTTTCAAACTCTGGAGGTCAAGAACCTAAGCACCACATGCCTTTCAAACAATCAGATGACCAAGACCCATGTTTCCTTTAATTCAGTGGTCCACAGACATCAGCTCAGAGGATAAAATGTTACCTACTAAAGGAAAAAACGGTTAACCCACAATTTTTCAGTACATACTATGAACAATGGACTATAGTTTAGCTTAGGCTAATTTACGAGCTTAAGTACATTACCACACTGTTTCAAAGCAATGCAAAGCAAAAAAATCTTACTGACCTAAAGATTTTCAAAGAAAAGTAATAAAGGTTAATAAATTAACCCAATTTCAGCACACATAAAAAATGCATTTATTATTTAGTAGTGTCAACAATTAATTCAATTATAGTATGAAAACACACAAAAAAAACTCTACTAAATTAACCCGTTTCAAAATTTCTAAAATCTATTACTTTTCTTACACCAAAATCTGACACCACCACTCTGTAAAACTTTAAATCTAAATATCAAAGTAAATTCACAATCAATAAAATTATACAGAACAAAGAAGATTCACAAATATAACTTAGAATTAGAAAACTCTATCAGAATTCAATTACGAATAAGAATAAACACATTCAAAACAGGCAAGGCAGACTACATTACAAAAAAAAATCCTCCCAAACACAGCAAACCTACCTCCAATCTATGAAGAAATCTAAGTGTAGATTCTGTGTGGTTAATTCACTAATTTAATTTTCTTACGTCACAGATTCCACACAGAGGAGTCCATCTATTTAAGTCTATGTCTATATGTAAAAGAAGATGTACAAGTCATACTATTTTTTTCCTAAACAGTAACCCTTCTAAATAAAACATTTCTAGCTTTAATGTTGATTAAGAAAACTAAATAATTAAAAATGATTTTTCCTTTCATTCTTGTTTTTTCAGAGTAATCCAATTTGATCATCCATTTGGACCTTAAACCTCGAGCTTAAAAATTCAGGTTTAAAAAACGTCCAAAAGTTTAAACAAAAAATTACCACAAAATGTTGGTAATTTCTGAAGATGGGTGACATATATAGCAGTTCATTATACTGTTCTCTCTATTGTATATTTTTCTAAAAGTCTATAATAATACTAAATTTTTAAAAATTATTCAGGTGTATTGAGTGATCTTCTTTAAGGTTTTCTTTAATTCTAAAACTAATTTAGTAGAGTACCAATTTACCAATAAGTTATTTGACATGATACACTAACTTGAAAGTAGTCCTCAAATCACATCAAAAGTTACTCTATCAACAGAAATAAGGCTGTAACTACTAGGAAGTGACTAAGGAAAAAACTGTAATACAATGAAGTGTATGTCCCATTTTAATATGTTATACAGTCAATGACTAATAAAAATACATTTCATTCTTAGAATTGAAAGGGACAAATTTTCCAGTTCATTAGTTTGTACACTTTTCAAGGTACGTAGGGGAGACAGCCAGAGACAAATGATCCTTTTTTATATACTGGGGATTGTGTACAAATTTTAAGATTTTGCTTAAAAAAGGATCTTGCTACTTTTTAGAAAAATGCTTAAAAACCACTGTTCCATTGCACCCACATGCTACAGCTAATAAAGTGATTTAGAAAAGATTAAATTACTTGTACTATAACATTTAATCAATGGCACTATTAGGAACAGAATTCAGCACTCTTCAATTTTTGTCAAGTTCTCCTTTAAAACAATGTATCATCTCAAATTTAAGTTACAGTTAAGAATAAAATTCTGTATCAATATTTTTCTCTGTAAAATAAGATTTGACAAGATCATCTCTAAGATCATTTTCCAGGTCTAAAATTCTGACTCCACAAATGCCAAGTTCAAACAGAGATCTATATTAAGGGAATGAATCCACAGCAGAACTCTTCAAACATTTTTAGGGACTCTAGAGAAATACAAGTCAAATACAGAAACAAGCTAACAGTTATTCAGTCATTACTTTTTGGGTCCTAAAACATTTCTGTAACTTCATCTTTTAATGCTAGGATGGGAAACTCTGTTATCAAAGACCACTGAAATAATCATACTGAAATTTTTTTTTTTTTTGGTTATTTGATACTTTTGGAAAGGAAACTGGCCTAAGTATCAAAATACACAACTCCCTGGATGTTCAAGTTACTGAATGCCTCACAGAGTACCAAGTATAACACTCTCTTAAGTTTAAAATAAATGAATTCAGAGAAGCATTAAGCCTAACTGACACACAATGGTCACAAAGTTTTAATTCCCACCTATTAAAGCCTGAAAGAGGTTGCTCTGAAATATGTTAATGACTCGTTCTATGGAACTTCTGAGCTGTCTGTCTTCAGTTTGGCTTAGTTTTGAACGATAATCTTCCAAAAGGTGCAATGCTCTCTGGGTATCTGAAGAAAAAAAAAAAGTCTGATTAAAATTACATATATACAAGAAAGTACTACACACTAACTATGCAGCAAATGATTCTGCAAGATATCTAAACAGCTCCCAAATCCTCCATATCAATCCATGCTACTCTGTTCATATACACATATATATTCCCTAGAATGATCCAAAAAATTGTAAACACATCACAGTAAAGAAGGTGAACAGTTCGTAATAAGCATGTACTAGTAGTCTACTACAAAAAAGATCATTTTATCAAAGTATTAGTAACAGTTCCAGCTGATACTGATATACAAAAGCAGATTATCTACAACCTGTCATTATAATCCAAATATTAAGTGTTCCAAAACGACTAATTCTTAGCCAGTATTCCACATTCACTTACAAAATAGTATTTAGTAAGAATGATAAAGTGAAATACTTAAACACCAATACAGAATTTTTAAAAAGACATTTCAGAGGAAAAAAGTTAACTGCCTCTCCAGTCACCAGAGAGACGTCAAGAAAAAAAGTTTGACAAACATTTAGGTGTTTCCATCTTTTGAAATGATGTAAGGCTGATTCCCTAAGTATTAAGGCTAGGGCTGTGCTATCTTATCAGTTAAAACAAACATCCTGAAAACAAAACATACAGAAAAACAAGTGACACAAAAGAATTCCTACATAAATTCTCACCTTGCTTCCGGACCGGCATTTTTCTCCAGAATCAGGAAGAGAGCACACACCTTTACGAACATAAAACAGAAAGGAAACAGAACTCAAGAAAATAATAGAATGGTGGTTAAACTAGTAATTCCCCTAACTCTCCAATCGAAAAACTCCCAGCCCTATTTGAAAGGCCCACCAGGCAAAGTTTTCCTAAGTAAAAGGAAGAGCCTCAAAACCCAGCAGTGTCAATCAATCTAGAAAGCTTTTACCTAGGGGGAGGTACCCCTGCAAATTAAGAGCAGACAGAAGAAAGATTCCAAATTCTCCTCGAAAGCTGCCCCCACTCCAAAAGGGCACTAAATGTCTAGACGTGGGGCCACCCCTCCCCCGGCGTAAGTATGCATACTCCCCACCTGCTATGGGGGGATGAAAAGGCGCTCCGATCCTTGGCCCCTAAGTCAGCAGCGGCTGTAGAGCGCTAGAAGGGACCAACTGGACTTATCACCCCGCCCTGCCTGGGCCCCCTCCTCTCGCTTGCCTGTCTCCTTGCTCGCTTCCTCCAAGCTACTCCAGCGGGGGCCGGACGGGGCAGCGGCCGCTCTCCGCGACGCCCTCGCGCCCCACATGCACACCTCCGCGGGCCCCCACACCTGCGGCGCCGCCACAAAGTTCCTGCGAGTGGCGTGCGCTGGGAGCTGGGGTGCGCCCCGGACCGTCTCCGGGCGGCTCCCCGTCCCTACCCAGCTCCACGTCCCCCCGCCCTGGCCGGGGCTCGAGGAGCTGAGCTGAGGGGGGTAAGGGAACGGGGGAGGAGCTCCCCTCGGCTGCCGCACCCCCGCTGCCGCTGCCTCTTCCTCGTTCTCGGCCACCGCCGCCTCCTCACTCGCCGAAGCCCGCAAGCCCGCTAGCCCGCTCGCCCTCTCCTAGCCTAGCCGCCCCACCCCCGGAACCTCGCCTCCTTCCGCGCCCCCAACCGCTCTCCCTCTAAACTTTCCGCCAAGATGGCGGCCCTGGAGCTGGACTGCCGCGCCCCCACGTGACCGCTTTCCCGGCGCTCTCAGCCAATGGGAAGTGAGGAGGCGGCTCGCGCCGAGCCCCGGGCTCTCCGCGCTGCTACCTTTGGGTTGGAAGGAGGAGGAGGACCAGGAGGGGGTTGGGGAACGCGAAGAGGAAACCAGGCAGCACCCAAGTGAACCTCCTCGCTTAAATGGGCGGCCACCGAAGTGGCTCTGAGGACAAAGGAGTTGACGCTCAGACTCTACAGGTGGTCCGGGGGGCCCTGGAAGAGCCCGCTTTTACCTTGCCCTAGCCCACCAGTGTGTCCCCCGGTTCTGAGCGAGTAGCGCGCCAGGCCTGGTAGGGTCAGGGTGTCGAGAGACGTGACCTCACCTACACCGGATCCAGGACACTCATCCCAAGACACCCTTTAACCTCACTAAACACGTGCTGTTTTCAACTCCACGGCAGAAGTGGATCCCCAATCTGGAAAAGCGTTCTCGGGGAGGAGTCGACTGTGCCACCCACGATAAGGGGCGGGAAAGGGCGGAGCCTGGAGGGGGGAAGGGGGAGGAGTGTGGGCCTGGGGGTAGGGGGAGTGCCGTCTCTGTACTCTTACACTTTGTACTAATTTTTTTTAAAGTGACTGTTAGCCCCTCAGTAAAAGTTTGGAGGGGGGCGGGGATTGAACTAAAGAAGGGTAGGTAAAATAGGAAGAATTGGTTAATTTGATAAAAGTTTGAGGGTTTTACTAGAGGATTTTTAGGTCTAAGTGATTAATTCCAAGTGTGAATGCATTTGAGGACGGGAAGAGAAAAATCTGTTCCTTCTTTCAGTCACTCATACATTCCTCCTTGCCTGCAACCCCCGTCCAGCCATCAGCCTCAAGTATTACCCAAGCCCTGGCGGCCTCTTTAAGAACTCACCTGTAGCTTCCGCCACCCAAACTCAAGCCGAGCCGTAACTCAGCTGGCAAGGCTAGTTTTAAGTTTTGATTGCACCTGGGAGCGGACTACTGGCCGGCCAGGACCCTGCTCCAGGGCTGAGCCGCCCAGGTTGAGGAAAGAGAATCGGGAAAAGCTCTCCAAGTAACTGCCCAGGTTCAATTCTCTCCTGTGTACCAGGGACCTCCCTGTTCTGAGCTTCAGAGAAAATTTGCCTAAGGTCACCCAGAGTTAGTAATAAAACTGGAAGCACAGAGATCGTGTCTTTCAAAACCAGAAGTCTTTTCCTAGTAAACCAGCCTTTCACCAAGACAGTTTCCTTGGGCTAATAAAGGGACGTCCTGGGAACCTTGTACTGTAACTATAACAGTTGCTGAGAGGTGTGCTGACCACTGGGTTTCACTTTTGCATTGCACCTTGGAATCCTGACTTGTGAGAACCCAGAGACTTTACAGAGTTCGTCTAGACCCACTCACAGTTTAAGATAAAGCGAGATCCAGGAGAAGCAACTTGTCCAAGGACATAAAGGCTAATCAGTGACAGTAACCCAGAATTAGGTTTCCTGGCTTCAGTCCAGTGCTCCTTCCACTGTGATTTTGGACAACTTGACAGTAGCATGTTGGTATATTAGCAGAATATCTTTTTATGCTCTCCTGCATCATGGGAGCATTAGCAACAGTTAAGCGACATTTCAGAGAATTGGGATGGAAAAGCAAAAGAAAGCTCTTAAAGGTGAGGAGCTTAAATAGAGAGATGTTTTAAAATAGTGAAATGAGGGGTGGTGGATAACAGTGAAAATGGCTGATGACATGGGTGCTATTAGTATCAAGGACTTCATTGATGAACTGTGGATGAAATGGTTCTGCTTAAGGGACCATTCTAAGAATAGAATTTTCAGAATTTAGGAGAAGGAGGGAGGGATTTCACCTGCCCCCTACTATCATTCATTGTTCATGTATGTTCACTTGCCAGGGAATGGGATAGAAATAAAGATCCAAGACCTGCTCTCAAGAACCTGCAGTAACAAATGGATAAAGTCCAGTGCAGCTTTTCCCAGGGGCCACTGAAAGTCAAAAACAAACTTGTATGAATTCTCAGTGTCATCCTAGTCCTTCCCTAAAAACAAAGAGAAGGGGGAGGAGAAAGAGGAGACAAGAGGACATGAAGCCCTTCCTTCTTATCATTTTCTAGCCCTATGTGATCAGCAGTGCACAGATAGGAGTGAAGCTAGCATTTGTTTTAAACTTGGGGGCCAGGACAAGTCCAGGCCCAGGATGAGGGACCTTTACTCTTCGTTCCTCTCTTCTATCCATCTGTATTAGTTACCTATAGCTGCATAACAATTTCCTCAAAGCTTAGTAGCTTAAAACTCAGTAGCTTAGTAATTAAAACAGCAATAAGCATTATCTCACAGTTTCTGTGAGTCAGAAATTCAGAAGGACCTTAGCTGGATGGTTCTGCCTTGGGGAGATTGCACTCAAGATGTCTACAAGGGCTGCAGTCATCTGAAGGCTTAACTAGGATTAAAGGAGGCTCTTTCAACATGGCTCCCTCCTGTGGCTAGTAAGTCGATTCTGACTGTTGGCAGGAGACCTCAATTTCTCACCAAGAAGTTCTGTCTATAGGGCTGCTTGATTGTCTTCATGCATGGTGGCTGACTTCCTCTAGAGCAAGTGTTCCAAAAGAGCAAGGCCGCAGCCTCAACATCTTTGATGATCTAATCTCGAAAGTAATATTCTATCATTTCCACAATATCCTATTAGTTACTTAGGTCAGCCTCAAGGGGATAGGAGGTAAGAATCATTAGGGGCCCTCTTAGAGGCTGGCTACCATATCATCACAACATACAAATCAATGACATCTGGATTTTTCCAAACAACTTTTATTTCCTTGAAGCCTTCCTTACTATATGCAGGTAGCAGCTGCCATCAACTAAGAACCAGTATGGGATCTGATTACTTTTCCAACCTCCTCATTAAAAATAAAAATAATTATAAAATAATAGTAAAGGTATAAATTTTCCAGCCATAAGTTCATTTTCCTTTCAAATAGCTTAAAAGGCTTAGGAGTCAAAGGACCACAGGGAAAGGCTCAAATCCCCCATTCTACTGAAATGTCAGAGATTTCATTCTCAAAAAATACTGTCTCTCAGTTTTAAACCTTCCCTTCCCAATAATCCTTCTATGCAAGCCACTCTTATTGCTCCTCTGTCTTTGTCCTCTCCCCCATCCAGATCCCCAGCCTATCTTCTGTAAAGGTACTTGGGTCCTGCCAGACTCTACTGCATCTTTAATTCTCAGACTGGCAGAGTGGCAGTGTGCTTCCTCTGCCAAGGGAATCACTAAAAGGAAAGGACTTGATGCCGTCAAAAACACTTATGTCAGCTTAGGCTGCAAGAAGAGGAATGGTGTTGAGAATTATTGAAGTGACCAAGCTGGTTTAGACCTCCAGGAAGAGCTCAGGGGGCATTTCCTCAGGGGGCAGCACACTTTAAGAGGTATCTAGACAAACCAGCATCTGGAAAGAGGAGAGTAACCAGAGCAATCAGGGATATGAAACCTTACCCCAGGGGGAAAAACTAGAATCTAGGGTCATTTATTTCAGAAAAGAGAGGAGTTTAGGGAGCTTGACTTTAATCTTCAAACAGGCTTATCCTGTGTATCCAGCGGGCAGGACTAAAACTAATGGATGAAAGCTACAGGGGCACAAGAAGTTCTTCTTTAATGCAATGTGTCAGAACTGTCCAAAATTCCAAAGAACTGCCCCATGGTGGTAGGCGTTTCCCATCAAGAAGCTAAAAGAATCCAGCAAGGCGTCCTTATCAGAGGGAGGTAGATACCCCTGACAGAAGACTGGACTAAGTAACCTTTGAGACCACAATTCTAAGTGCTTGGAACTTCTGTCCCTGCTGTGGTATTAGTACCATTTTGTCTACGTCAGGAATCCATTCTATCCAGCTTAAATGGTACTGAGACTGACCTCCTTCTGCAAAGATAATTCTTACCAGAATAAAAAGTACAAATTGAAACCAATTCCCTTTAAAATGTGGAGAGTTGCCCACCTCCCTGATAATTAAGCACTGAACTCATGTCTTTTAACAGATGATCCACCCTCAGATTTCTTTATTATGCCGTAACGGGTTCCTAAGTGGGTATGAGACAAATAACAGCCTCCCATTTAAACTGGTATACTCATACACGGCCACAGACCTTCGTGTATTGTCCAAAGGCAGATTTAACCCATTGTAGTCTCACAGCAACCTCTGAGAGAAACTTATGATCTCCCACTTGGCAGAGGAGGACACTGAGGAAGAAGGAAATAAATAACCCAGTCTAGGACACCTCATCTAGCTGGTAATGGAGCTGGTGCTGATGGTTAGTTTGTTTGTTTTTCTCCATTAGACTACGTTGCCTTTTCTCTACTTGACTCCTTTCTAAAATAACAAACCAACTAACCAACCATTGTGTGTGTGTGTTGGAGCAGGGGGCGGGTGTATGAAAGACAGATTGGAGACAGAGTCAGAAAGACAGAGAGATACTAAGAGAGAGAAGAGATACACTGAGAGAGATTCTGATAAAATAAAGCACAAGCAATAGGCTAGTCTGTTACTCGTTTATCATATATTTGAATGCTTTTAACAGTGGAGACAATTTTGAGGGAAATATGAATGTCGGCTCTGACCACAAAGAAATAAATATCCACACCAAACAGAATTGCCTGAGAAAAAAAGACCAATAAGTATAGTTGAGCAGTTCACAATAAAAGTTAGACTAAGCCATCAGGAAAATGTAAATCAAAACCACAATGAGATCAATGAGATACAACTTCACACCCACTGTTATGACTAAATGAGGTGGTTGGGTTGTTTTTTTTTAATGCAAAAGTTTTTTTAGAGCACTCTCTAGCTTCCTTCTCTCCTTCCTTCACCTTGACTAGTATCCTTGAGTATTAACAAGAGGTTTCACAGATGTATGGGACATGTGGCATGGAAGGGCCCTTAGCCACCCACTAGTGCCATCCTCTCACCTGACAGATAGAAGGACTCCCAGACAGTATCAGCACACAATTATCAA